TTTCGTTGTTAATGATTATGTGAAACCAGCTGTTTTGAAGAAAATTGACCCCAATCAGTATGGAGCAATCCCTAAATCATCGACGATTTTTGCTCTTCTTAGTATGGTGCATAACTGGACCTCCGGGCTTGACGGTACCGGTTCTACAACTAGAATCATTCTATTCGATTACCAAAAAGCTTTTGATCTAATTGATCACAGAATTTTGTTCAATAAACTACTTCAGTTAGATCTACCACGAAGTGTTATAAATTGGATTATTGATTTCTTAAGTAACAGATTCCAAAGAGTCAAACTTTCACAAGGATGTTTTTCAGATTGGGGTGCAGTACCTTCGGGCGTCCCTCAAGGCACCATTTTAGGTCCATGGCTCTTTTTAATCTTGATAAATGATTTATCTATCACAAATACTGACTTATGGAAATACGTGGACGATACGACAGTATCGGAAACAGTTGACAAAAACCAACAGAGTAGAGCACAGACAATTGCTAATGAGATGTCACAATGGTCCCAAAACAATAAAATGAAGCTGAATGAAGAGAAATGTAAGGTACTCCGTATTTCCTTCTCAAAAGTCCCTCGTGATTTTAACCCGATACTTATTAACAACAAAAGTATTAGAGTCGTAAAATCCGTTAAACTTCTGGGTTTGTCATTCGATAATAACCTGACGTGGAATCTACATATCGAAGAGGTAGTTATCCAAACGAATCTATTACCTGATCCAACTCAAACGGGCCGGTATTCCTCGGAATGATCTGGTTCTATTTTATGTTACATGTATTCGATCTGTTATCGACTATGGTATCCCTGTCATTTACTATTCGTTGCCAAAATACTTGCGTTCCGATTTGGAAAGATTACAAAAAAGAGCTATTAGAATCATCTGTCCAAACACTAATTACGAAGACGCTTTAATTAGTTGTGGACTGGAGTCACTGTCTGTTCATCATGAAAATATTTGTACTAGTTTATTTCAAACAGTAGTTGCTGATGAAAATCATAAGTTACGAAGTTTACTGCACCTACACATACTTCTTTTTATGATTTAAGAACCGATAGGAAATTTGAAATTCCTAGATGTAACACTAATCGTTTTCAAACTAGTTTTTTTGTGGCTTCGTGCCGCAAATCATTTATCTAATGCTATTGAAATGACCTAATATTTTTAATAATTTTAAATTTTTTAGTATATTAAAGTAATAAACATCTTGTATATATAATATTTATATGGAATGTCATCATAATGGCTTGATAAACTCTTTTTATATTCTCGTAATTAGTTAAATTTACTTGTAAAAAAAAATACGCAATTCAGCCTATGTCTGCGAAGTATTTTATTAAATCTATCTATCTATCTATCTATCTATCTATCTATCAAGCGGTGAGCACAGGGTTTCGCGCGCTGAAGAAAAGGTTTTTGGCGTTGAGTACAAAGTTTCTGGCGGTGAGGACAAGATTCCTGGCGGTGAGGACAAGGTTCCTGGCGGTGAGGACAAGGGTCCTGGCGGTGAGGGCAAGGTTCCTGGCGGTGAGGACAAGGTTCCTGGCGGTGAGGACAAGGTTCCTGGCGGTGAGGAGAAGGTTCCTCGTGCTGAGGACAAGGTTCCAAGCGGTGAGGACAAGGTTCCTAGCGCTGACGAAATGTTTTTGGCGTTGAGTAAAAAGTTCCTAGCGGTGAGGACAAAGTTCCTGGCGGTGAGGACAACGTTCCTGGCGGTGAGGACAAGGTTCCTGGCGGTGAGGACAATGTCCCAAGCAGTGAGGACAAGGTTTCTGGCGCTGAGGAAAGGTTTTTGGGGATGAGTACAAAGTTCCTGGCGGTGAGGACAAGGTTACTGGCGGTGAAGACAAGGTTCCTGGCAGTGGTGACAATGTTCCTGGCGGTGACGACAAGGTTCCTGGCGGTGAGGACAAGGTTTCTGGCAGTGAGGACAAGGTACCAAGCGGTTAGGACAAGGTCCCTGGCGGTGAAGACAAAGTTCCTGGCGGTGAGGACAAGGTTCCAAGCGGGCAGGACAAGGTTCCTGGCGCTGAGGAAAAGGTTTTTGGCATTGAGCACAAAGTTCCTGGCGGTGAGGACAAGGTTCCTGGCGGTGAGGACAAGGTTCCTGGTGGTGAAGACAAGGTTCCTGGCGGTGAGGACAAGGTTCCTGGCAGTGAGGACAAGGTACCAAACGGTTAGGACAAGGTTCCTGGCGGTGAAGACAAGGTTCCTGGCGGTGATGACAAGGTTCCTGGGGCTGAGGAAAAGGTTTTTGGGGTTGAGTACAAAGTTCCTGGCGGTGAGGACAAGGTTCCTGGCGGTGAGGACAAGGTTCCTTGGGGGTGAAGACAAGGTTCCTGCCGGTGAGGACAAGATTCCAAGCGGTGAGGACAAGGTTCCTGGCGGTGATGACAAGGTTCCTGGGGCTGAGGAAAAGGTTTTTGGCGTTGAGTAGAAAGTTCCTAGCGGTGAGGACAAGGTTCCTGGCAGTGAGGACAAGGTTCCAAGCGATGAGGACAGGGTTCCTGGGGCTGAGGAAAAGGTTTATGGCTTTGAGTACAAAGTTCCTGGCGGTGAGGACAAGGTTCCTGGCGGTAAGGACAAGGTTCCAAGCGTTGAGGGCAAGGTTCCTGGCGGTGAGGACAAGGTTCCTGGCGCTGAGGAAAAGGTTTTTGGCGTTGAGTACTGGCGGTGATGACAAGGTTCCTGGGGGTCAGGAAAAGGTTTTTGGCGTTGAGTAGAAAGTTCCTGGCGGTGAGGACAATGTTCGTGGCAGTGAGAACAAGCTTCCAAGCGGTGAGGACAGGGTTCCTGGCGATGAGGACAAGGCTTCTGGCGCTGAGGAAAAGGTTTTTGGCGTTGAGTACAAAGTTCCTGGCGGTGAAGACTAGCTTCCTGGCAGTGAGGACAAGGTTCCAAGCGATGAGGACAGGGTTCCTGGGGCTGAGGAAAAGGTTTATGGCTTTGAGTACAAAGTTCCTGGCGGTGAGGACAAGGTTCCTGGCGGTGAGGACAAGGTTCCAAGCGTTGAGGGCAAGGTTCCTGGCGGTGAGGACAAGGTTCCTGGCGCTGAGGAAAAGGTTTTTGGCGTTGAGTACTGGCGGTGATGACAAGGTTCCTGGGGGTCAGGAAAAGGTTTTTGGCGTTGAGTAGAAAGTTCCTGGCGGTGAGGACAATGTTCGTGGCAGTGAGAACAAGCTTCCAAGCGGTGAGGACAGGGTTCCTGGCGATGAGGACAAGGCTTCTGGCGCTGAGGAAAAGGTTTTTGGCGTTGAGTACAAAGTTCCTGGCGGTGAAGACTAGCTTCCTGGCAGTGAGGACAAGGTTCCAAGCGGTTAGGACAAGGTTCCTGGCGGTGAGGACAAAGTTCCTGGCGCTGACGAAAAGGTGTTTGTCGTTGGGTACAAAGTTCCTGGCGGTGAGGACAAGGTACCAAGCGGTTAGGACAAGGTTCCTGGCGGTCAGGACAAAGTTCCTGCCAGTGAGGACAAGGTTCCTGGCGGTGAGGTCAAGGTTCCTGGCGGTGAGGACAAGGTTCCTAGCGCTGACGAAAAGGTTTTTGGCGTTGACCACAAAGTTCCTGGCGCTGAGGACAAGGTTTCTGGCGGTGAGGACAAAGTTCCAAGCGGTGAAGACAAGGTTCCTGGAGGTGAGGACAAGGTTTCTGGCGGTGAGGACAAAGTTCCAAGCGGTGAGGACAAGGTTCCTGGCGCTGAGGAAAGGTTTTTGGCGTTGAGTACAAAGATTCTGGCGGTGAGGACAAGGTTCCTGGAGGTGAGGACAAGGTTCCTGGTGGGGAGGACAAGGTTCCTGCGGGTGAGGACAAGATTCCTGGCGGTGAGGCCAACGTTCCAGGCGGTGAGGACAAGGTTCCCCCGGTGAGGAAAAGGTTCCATGCGGTAAAGACAAGTTTCCTGACGCTCATGAAAAGGTTTTTGGGTTGAGTACAAAGTTCCTGGGGTGCGGACAAGCTTCCTGGCGCTGAGGAAAAGGTTTTTGGCGTTGAGTACAAAGTTCCTGGCGGTGAGGACAAGGTTCCTGGCGGTGAGGACAAGGTTCCAACCGTTGACGACAAGGTTCCTGGCGATGAAGAAAAGGTTTTTGGCGTTTAGTACAAAGTTCCTGGCTGTGACGACAAGTTTCCTGGCGGTGAGGACAAGGTTCCAAGCGGTGAGGGCAAGGTTCCTGGCTGTGAGGACAAGGTTCCTGGTGCTGAGGAAAAGGTTTTTGGCGTTGAGTACAGAGTTCCTGGCGGTGAGGACTAGATTCCTGGCAGTGAGGACAAGGTACCAAGCGGTTAGGACAAGGTTCCTGCGGTGAGAACAAGTTTCCTGGCGGAGAGGACAAGGTTCCTGGCGGTGAGGTCAAGGTTCTAAGCGGGGAGGACAAGGTTCCTGGCGCTGAGGAAAAGGTTTTTTGGCGTTGAGTACAAAGTTTCTGGCGGTGAGGTCAAGGTTTCTGGCAGTGAGGACAAGGTTCCAAGCGGTGAGGACAGGGTTCCAGGCGCTGAAGAAAAGGTTTTTGGCGTTGAGGTCAAAGTTTCTGGCGGTGAAAACAAGGTCCCTGGCGGTGAGGACAAGGTTCCTGGCGGTGAGGACAAGGTTCCTGGCGGTAAGGACAAGGTTCCTGGCGGTGAGGACAAGGTTCCTAGCGGTGAGGACAAGATTCCTGGCGGAGAGGCCAACGTTGCTGGCGGTGAGGAGAAGGTTCCTGGCGGAGAGAACAAGGTTCCCGGCGGGGAGGACACGGTTCCTGGCGGTAAGGACAAGGTTGCAAGCGGTGAGGACAGGGTTTCTGGCGCTAAAGAAAAGGTTATTGGCGTTGAGTACAAAGTTTCTGGCGGTGAGGGCAAGGTTTCTGCCGGTCAGGACAAGGTTCCTGGCGGTGAAGACAAGGTTCCTGGCGATGAGGACAAGGTTCCTGGCGGTGAAGACAAGGTTCCTGGTGGTGAGGAGAAGGTTTCTGGCGGTGAGTACAAGATCCTCGGCGGTAAGGACAAGGTTACTGGCGGTGAGGACTAGGTTCCAAGCGGTGAGGACAAGGTTCCTGGCGGTGAGGAGAAGGTTCCTAGGCCTGAGGAAAAGGTTTTTGCCTTGAGTACAAAGTTCCTGGCAGTGAGTTCAAGGTTCCTGGCCATGAGGACAAGGTTCCAAGCGTTGAGGACAGGGTTCCAGGCGCTGAAGAAAAGTTTTTGGCGTTGAGTACAAAGTTTCTGGCGGTGAGGACAAGGTTATTGGCGGTGAGGACAAGGTTCCTGGCGGTAAGGACAAGGTTGCAAGCGCTGAGGACAGGGTTTCTGGCGCTGAAGAAAAGGTTTTTGGCGTTGAGTACAAAGTTTCTGGCGGAGAGGACAAGGTTCCTGGCGGTCAGGACAAGGTTCCTGGCAGTGAGGACAAGGTTCCTGGCGGTGAGGACAAGGTTCCTGGCGGTGAAGACAAGGTTCCTGGCGTTGAGGACAAGGTTTCTAGCGGTGAGGACAAGGTTCCAAGCGGTGAGGACAAGGTTGCTGGCGCTGCGGAAAGGTTTTTGGCGTTGAGTACAAAGTTCCTGGCGGTGAGGACAAGGTTACTGGCGGTAAAGACAAGGTTCCTTGCAGTGGGGACAAGGTTCTTGGCGGTGAGGACAAGGTTCCTGGCGGTGAGGACAAGGTTCCTGGCGGTGATGACAAGGTTCCTGTCGCTGAGGAGAAGGCTTCCTGCCGCTGTGGAAAAGGTTTTTCGCGTTGAGTACAAAGTTCCTGGTGGTGAGGACTAGGTTCCTGGCAATGAGGACAAGGTACCAAGCGGTGAGGACAAGGTTCCAAGCGAGGAGGACAAGGTTCCTGGCGCTGAGGAAAAGGTTTTTGGCGTTGAGTAAAAAGTTCCTGGCGAAGAGGACAAGGTTCCTGGCGGTGAAGACAAGGTTCCTGGTGGAAAGGACCAGGTTCCAAGCGGTGAGGACAACGTTCCTTGCGGTGATGACAAGGTTCCTGGGGCAGAGGAAAAAGGTTTTTGGAGTTGAGTACAAAGTTCCTGGCGGTGAGGACAAGGTTCGTGGCAGTGAGGACAAGGTTCCAAGCTTGTGAGGACAGGGTTCCTGGCGCTGAGGAAAAGGTTTTTGGCCTTGAGTACAAAGTTCCTGGCGGTGAGGACAAGGTTCCTAGCGGTGAGGACAAAGTTCCTGGCGGTGAGGACAAGGTTCCTGGCGCTGAGGAAAGGTTTTTGTCGTTGAGTACAAAGTTCCTGGCAGTGAGGACAAGGTTCGAAGCGGTTAGGACAAGGTTCCCGGCGGTGAGGACAAAGTTCCTGGCGCTGAGGAAAAAGTTCTTGGCGTTGGGTACAAAGTTCCCGGCGGTAAGGACAAGGTTTGAATTTGGGATAGGTAATAGGACCTCTACATGCGTCTCGGACCTGTGGTTTACTTGTATTTTATCAATCATTATTCATCCAAAGTTCCTGCCGGTGAGGACAAGTTTCCAAGCGGTGAGGACAAGGTTCCTGGCGGTGATGACAAGGTTCCTGGGGCAGAGGAAAAATGTTTTTGGCGTTGAGTACAAAGTTCCTGGCGGTGAGGACAAGGTTCCTGGCAGTAAGGACAAGGTTCCAAGCTGTGAGGACAGGGTTCCTGGCGCTGAGGAAAAGGTTTTTGGCCTTGAGTACAAAGTTCCTGGCCATGAGGACAAGGTTCCTGGCGGTGAGGACAAGGTTCCTGGCGGTGAGTACAAGGTTCCTAACGCTGAGGAAAAGGTTTTTGGCGTTGAGTACAAAGTTCCTGGCAGTGAGGACAAGGTTCTAAGCGGTTAGGACAAGGTTCCTGGCGGTGAGGACAAAGTTCTTGGCGCTAAGGAAAAGGTTCTTGGCGTTGGGTACAAAGTTCCTGGCGGTGAGGACAAGGTTCCTGGCGGTGAAGACAAGGTTCCAAGCGGAGAGGACAAGGTTCCTGGCGGTGAGCACAAGGTTGCTGGCGCTGACGAAAAGGTTTTTGGCGTTGAGTACAAAGTTCCTGGCGGTGAGGACAAGGTTCCAAGTCTGGAGGACAAGGTTCCTGGCGCTGAGGAAAAGGTTTTCGGCGTTGAGTACAAAGTTCCTGTCGGTGAGGACTAGGTTCCAGGCAGTGAGGACAAGGTTCCAAGCGGTTAGGACAAGGTTCCTGGCGGTGAGGACAAAGCTCCTGGCGGTGAGGACTAGGTTCCAGTCGGGGGAACAAGGTTCCCGGCGCTTAGAAAAAGGTTTTTGGCGTTATGCACAAAGTTCCAGGCGGTGAGGACAAGGTTCCTGGCGGTGAGGACAAGGTTCCTGGCGGTGAAGACAAGGTTCCTGGCGGTGAGGACAAGGTTCCTGGCGGTGATGACAAAATTCCTGGGGCTAAGGAAAAGGTTTTTGGCGTTGAGTACAAAGTTCCTGGCGGTGAGGACAAGGTTCTTGGCGGTGAAGACAAGGTACCTGGCGGTGAGGACAAGGTTCGTGGCAGTGAGGACAAGGTTCCAAGCTTGGGAGGACAGGGTTCCTGGCGCTGAGGAAAAGGTTTTTGGCCTTGAGTACAAAGTTCCTGGCGGTGAGGACAAGGTTCCTGGCGGTGAGGACAAGGTTCCTGGCGGTGAGGACAAGGTTCCTGGCGCTGAGGAAAAGGTTTTTTGGCGTTGAGTACAAAGTTCCTGGCGGTGAGGACAAGGTTACTGGCGGTGAAGACAAGGTTCCTGGCGGTGAGGACAAGGTTC